GGTGGGGGGGGGGGGGGGCAAATACAATTTCTTGTATTTGTATCTCTTGCAGAAATTTACAGTAAATCAGATCCTTAAAAATCTGTATTAAAAATAATCCTTTGAGAGCAGAAGAAAAGATATTTGTGGGCAAAATCCTACAAGTACATACACGTAAGACACAAAAAAAGCCCCTCTCCAAACGAAAGAGCACCAAACCATAGTTTTGATGTAAAGATCACATACATTGCCAGAATATGTAGGTCACTTGCCTAATTAAAATAACACACAGGCTTTCTTGCAAAATGCTCCTGTCACAGACTAGTTATAGAAAACTTTTTGGAGATTATTTATGCAAAGTACGAGTGAAATTTTTTTAGTTTTAATATAAATTGTACTAATACTAGTGAGCGGAGTTGCTGTTGCTGGTCTTCGATATTGTTGCTCAAATGTCCCAGTTACACATTACCCGGGAAATCTTTCCCAAGTTTTCACTTTCTGATTCAGTGAAGCACACTTCTGTCCTGGCAATTAATAAACAGGCAAAAACTGAAACCCAAACCCTGTACTGACACAAAACACCAAATAGTTCACCAGCAAGAAAACAAATAGCAGGAGAACTCTGTAAAGTCTGGTTTTAGCACCAAAAATCCCTGAGCCCCGCTTGGCATTCTAGGAACTGGGATCAAGCTTACAGTTTTGGGGGAGCTAAAGGAAAAGAAAAAATAAATAAGGACAATACAAACTTTGGTCAGTTGTTCAAATTCTCAAGGTGGAAAGCCCGAAGTACCGCAGGGGGTGGACTGGGCAGCAGAGAGGAGGGGTTAGCGCTGCTGAGCACAACCCTCGCTGGAGAAGCCGCTCTCTCCCCAGCAAACCGTGGGAAAGTCAGACCAAACTCCAAACCGGCGGCGGGAAAACAGGAATCTCGACCTTTCTCAGCAGAAAGTCCCGTCTAGCGGGGCGAAGCTTCGCGCCCTTCTCCCAGCCCTGCCAGCGTGGGGTCCCGGCCCCCCACGGGACTGCAGAGCAGCGTCCCTTCAAACGCGAGCGGTGTCACTCAACCCACGCACGCCTGCCCCCGCCTCCCCCCACGGCTCCGCTCCGCCGGAGGGACCCTGGGGCGGCGCGGCAGCGGAGATGCTCTCCCTTTCCCTCTCCCTCTCCCTCTCCCTCTTCCTTTCCCTCTCCCCTCCGCGGGGATGCTCCCCCCTCCGTAAGGACTCTCTCCCCCCCGTGGGGATGCCCGCGGTTGCCGGGGGCGGCGCGGCGCGGGATGCTCACCCGGCGGTTGCGGTCGGTCTCCCGCACCTCCTCCTCCTCGGGGCCTTGGCGGATGAGCGCCTTGAGCACGACGGTGTTGTTGGTGCAGCAGGCTCGGAAGAGGCTGAGGGCCTCGGGGCTGTCGCGCCCCTCTTGCTCCAGGGACCAGCGGTCCTCCTCCTCGTCCTCCAGCCCCCCCGGCGGGTAGAAGGAGTCGTCCGAGGCGATGCTGCAGGTGTCGGGCAGCTCGGAGAAGTCCTCGTACTCCTCGCAGTCCTCTTCCTCCTCCTCCTCCTCCTCCTCCTCCTCCTTCTCCTCAGTTGAGGGAGCGCTTCCCGCTCCCCGCCCCCTTTGCGAGGGGTCCCGGGGGTAGAGCCGGAGAGCCCTCCCCGGCGGTGGCGGG